TCTCAAGCTTTTAATGAATATTGCATGTCAATCAGAATAAGTGTTGAACAATCTATTAGTCATGTTCATACACAAAACGGTCTAGCAGAATCATTTATCAAACACCTTAAATTGATTGCAAGACCATTATTTATGAAATCCAAACTCTCAATTTCTACTTGGGGACATGCCATCTTGCATGCAGTAGCACTTGTATGCATCAGGCCAACAAGTTATCATAAATTCTCCTCTATACAATTGATTTATGGTCAGGAACCAAATATTTCCTATCTAAGAATTTTTTGATGTATGAAATATGTTCCAATTGCTCCACCACAACGCACAAAGATAGGTCATCAAAGGAGGTTAGGAATATATGTTGGATATGAATCTCCATCTATAATTAAATATCTAGAACCTTCAACAGGAGATTTATTCACTGCAAGGTTTGCTGATTGTCATTTTGATAAAACAATTTTTTCAACATTAGGGGAAGAAAATAAGCAGCTAGAAAAAGAAATATCTTGAAATACATTATCATTATCGAGTCTTGATCCTTGCACAAATCAATATGAATAACAAGTTCAAAGGATAATTCATTTGCAGAATATAGCAAATCAGTTGCCAGATGCATTTACTGACCTAAAAAGAGTAACTAAATCTCATATACCAGCTGCAAATGCTCCAATTAGAATTGAGGTAGGACAATCTCCTATTGTTAATGAGTCTAAAACACGCCGAAGCATGGAAGACCAATTGGTTCCAAAGATAAAAATCCTCAAAAAAGAAAAAAGAGCAAATATTCAAGATGGTCAAGAAAAGGAAACAAAAACTCCAGAAAAGACCCCTGACATAATTCCAGAAGAAATTCAAGTACATAAAATTAGTGAAAATGAAGAGATCTCAATAAATTATGTCATGACGGGAAAAAGATGGAATCGAAATAAAATAAACGTCGACGATATTTTTGCATACAATGTAGCGCTCAATATTATGAAAAAAAATGAGGATCTTGAACCTACATCTATTGAAGAATGTAGATATAGAAATGATTGGCCAATGTGGAAAGACGCAATCAAAGTGGAATTAAATTCACTTGCAAAACGTGAAGTTTTTTGACTTGTTGTACGTACACCAAATGGTGTAAAACTGGTGGGATATAAATGGGTATTTGTGCGAAAACAAAATGAGAAAAATGAGATTGTGAGATATAAAGCATGGCTTGTCGCACAAGGTTTTACCCAAAAACCTGGTATTGATTATGAAGAGACATATTCTCCTGTGGTGGATGCAATTACATTTCGTTATGTAATTAGTCTAGCAATACATGAAAATCTCAAAATGCGTTTAATGGATGTAGTTACAGCCTATTTATATGGCTCACTTGATAATGATATCTATATGAAGATCCTTAAAGGATTTAAGTTGCCTGAAGCACAAAACTTGAATTCTCGAGAGATTTATTCGATCAAATTAAATAAATCTTTATATGGATTAAAACAATCTGGACGCATGTGGTATAATCGCCTTAGTGAATATTTGTCGAAAGAAGGCTATAAAAATGATCTTATATGCCCATGTATTTTTATAAAAGGATTCATATCTGAATTTGTGATAATTGCTGTTTATGTTGATGATCTAAACATTATTGGAACTCCTGAAGAGTTATCAAAAGCCGTGGATTACTTAAAAAAAGAATTTGAGATGAAAGATCTTGGGAAAACAAAGTTTTGTTTAGGACTTCAGATTGAACACTTGACAAATGGAATTTTTGTCCATCAATTTAATTACATAGCAAAGGTGTTAAAATGATTTTATATATAAAAGCACATCCATTGAGTTCACCAATGGTTGTAAGATCATTAGATGTGAAAAAAGATCCTTTTCGACCTCGTGAGGATAATGAAGAACTTCTTGGTCATGAAGTACCATATCTTAATGCAATTGGAGCACTAATGTATCTTGCTAGCAATACACGACTTGATATATCATTTGCTGTGAATTTATTAGCAAGATATAGTTCTTTTCTAACTCGAAGAATTGAAATGGAATTAAACATATATTTCGATATCTCCGAGGAACAATGGATATGGGCTTATACTATTCAAATGCATCAAAATCAGATTTAATCGGTTATGCAGATGCGGGATATTTATTAGATCCACACAAAGCTCAATCCCAGACAGTTTATGTATTCACATATGGAGGTACAACTATTTCATGGCGTTCTGTAAAACAAACTATAGTTGCTACTTCTTCTAATCATGTAGAAATTTTAGCAATTCATGAGGCAAGTCGTGAATATGTCTGGTTAAGATCAGTAACTCAACATATTTAAGAAACGTGTGGTTTGCCAACCAAGAAAGGAATTCCAACAACATTATATGAGGATAATACTGCTTGCATAGCATAGTTAAAGGAAGGATACATTAAAGGCGATGAACAAAACATATTTCGTCAAAATTCTTTTCACCTCATGATCTTCAAGAAAAGGGTGATATTAGTGTTTAACAAATTGTTCAAGTGACAATCTATAGATTTGTTTACTAAAGCCCTTCCTACTGTAACATTCAAAAATTGGTACAAAGATCGAGATGCGCCATTTAAAGATCTTAAATAATACAATTGTCAGGGGAGTAAAATAGCAATATACTCTTTTTTCCGTCGTCAAGTTTTTTTCCCTTGGGTTTTTTGTAAGGTTTTTAATGAGGCAGTATTCCATAAGCGTATTCTTGAAAGAATTATGTACTCTTTTCCTTCACTTGGATTTTTTTCCATGAGGTTTTTTTCCTTGTAAGGTTTTAATGAGGCATATTCTTAATATAATGGATATTCAAGGGGGAGTGCTATGAATATTTTATGAATATCCATTTATGTTATCTGTATCTAGATTTGATGTAAATCAGATTAGATTAGGATATAATCTATTTAGTTTCTAAGTGTTATCCTCATCTTATAAAAGGGTTATTTGCCTATAAATAAGTCCCCTTAGTTCATTTGTATACACAAACTTCAATAAAATTTCCTCTCTCCCTTAAGTACTTTCTTTCTTCTTTTTAAATATTCTTTCAAGTTATTTTGTTTGTTCTTATAAAGTTATTATTTTCATAACAAATTTAACATTTTAATATGAATAAATTATAGCATTTTACACTTTAATAATATTAAATTATACAACTTAAAACTACTAATTATATAATTTTTATGAAATATATAATATTAATTATTAATTTAATACTATTAACAACTAATTTATATAATAAATAAATTAAAACTTTTTTTTTAAAATTTTAACAAAAGTTATTATTATTTCATATCCTTAAATTATAACATTTTTGTATTTTAACAATTTTAAATTATATTATTTAACACTACTAATTATATAATTTCAGTTTAGCACTACTACTTATATAATTTTTATGAAATTATATAATATTAATCATTAATTTAACACTACTAATTACTAATTTATATAATTAAAGTGTAAAATTTTAATTTTACTAATTTATATATACACAATAACAAAATTATTTTACCACAAAATTAACACAAACAAACATATATATACGTAATAACAATTAAAATACCACAAAATTAACACACAAAAATATATATACACAATAACAATTAAATGACCACAAAATTAACACAAACATATATATATATACACACACAATAACAATTATAATACCACAAAATTAACACAAACAATTATATATACACAATAACAATTATATTACCATTGAATTAACAGAAATGCAAATTTATACATAATAAAAATTATAATACTACAAAATTAACACAACCAAATATATATACACAGAATCAATTATATTACAACAAAATTAATACAAAAAATATATACACAATATCAATTAAATTACAATTAAATAACAAAAAAAATATAACAACATATAACAA